CGATCTATCTATCGATCTATCTATCGATCTATCTATCGATCTATCTATCGATCTATCTATCGATCTATCTATCGATCTATCTATCGATCTATCTATCGATCTATCTATCGATCTATCTATCGATCTATCTATCGATCTATCTATCGATCTATCTATCGATCTATCTATCGATCTATCTATCGATCTATCTATCGATCTATCTATCGATCTATCTATCGATCTATCTATCGATCTATCTATCGATCTATCTATCGATCTATCTATCGATCTATCTATCGATCTATCTATCGATCTATCTATCGATCTATCTATCGATCTATCTATCGATCTATCTATCGATCTATCGATCGATCTATCTATCGATCTATCTATCGATCTATCTATCGATCTATCCATCGATCTATCGATCGATCTATCTATCGATCTATCTATCGATCTATCTATCGATCTATCTTTAGATCTCTCCATCGATCTATCTATCGATCTATCTAACTCCATTTTCTAGAATAAACTAATTTGAAAAAATAAACCGCCAGTTCTTCCCCGTTAAGCTCCCGGAAGCAGGAAAAGATTAGCAAACGTGCCCCCATAAACCAGCCCCGGAAATATGTCACAGTCTGGAGTGAAAAATGGAAAAAAAAAAACCCACGGCCATAAATCCACTTGATAATCACGTCCGAGTCCGGCAGAATGAATGGTGGCGGCGCTGCTTGAAAAAAAAAACAGAAAAGTGCAACACTATTCACACATGTAGGACACGTTTTAATTCCCCTTCCGAAACTTCATCTTTTGGTTGATTTTCACATATTTTTCAATCTCACAAAAGAGAGAAACGCTAACAACCCCCCGTAGGTGCATTTTTGGGCGCACACCGTGAAACTGGAAAATATATAAAATGGACCACGCGTTGGCTCGGGGAACGTAGGGGGAGTTGCTCAAAAGTCCACGCCAAGAGAAAATGAGCAGCGGACACGAAAATGAAATGTGAGGGACGCGCGCGAAAATGGGGTGCGCAATTTATCGTAAAGTTTTTTCGTTACTGTAATGTGCTTTTTTGTTTGTTCGCGGAATTTTTCGGATTTCGTTCACCAGCAGCAGCAGCAAGAAAGCCAACCACTTGAAATAGTGCTGCTGCTGGTGTTGGTGATGGTGGTAGTTGTTGACGAGAAAAGGGGTTCAGGAGGAGGCCAAGGGGTGAGTGTTCTCTCATTGTGATGCATGTGTGGTAGTACTAAAAGTATGGAGCCAAAATAAATAAAACTTGTCACACGTGAAGCACGATGGGGGACGGGAGGTCCGGGAAGAAGTGGCACGTTGTTGGCGGAAGAAGCAATTTTATATGAATTGTTTTCTCGATGTTATTTGTGATATGAGAATGGAAAACAGAGAAAAGTGTCACTTTGAAAATGGATTTATGCTGTTCGTGTGGTAGAGTTGGAGAAGGCTAAGGGTGTTGCTCTATGATTTGCTAACGATGTTTTGGCTGGAAAAGTGGGGATTGTCACACTTGTGTTGGACAACAAAATGTGTTTTTGGACGAATTTACTTGGTTTTGGTACAAGTGCTGGAAGTTTAGAATACATTTTCCTGTCGAAATGGTTTTAAAAAAATGCTTCGAAGATTGTGGAAGTTGCATTTCACTGATAACTTATTGGCTTTTCAGATACTAAAATCGGTCGGCAGTCTCGCCTTCAGGCGGTGAACCCCACACGACAGAAGTTTCGTCAATATTTCCCTCGATTGTTTCACGTTAATCATTAAAATCCAACATTTTTTTGACGTAAGACTACGTCTATGATTTCTATATGTGGGTACACTATGTGAAAACCGAAAATGGAACATGTAACACAATTATGAAAGATTTTGAACGTTAATAACTCAGCTGCTCCTAGACCAATTTCAGTAATTTTATTTCCAATCGATCAGAAATATGTGTACGCATTTTTTAAATATAAGGCTTTATAAATTTTCAATATGTAACTATTTAAAATTGCACAAATGTGCAACTGTTGCTATTATAATTAAAATTATCACCGAGTGCCTGCATAAAGCGATTTCCCTATCACAGATTTCAAAGTTGAATTCCATCCGGTCTCACCAAACGGTGTTTATTCAATCACCACGTGGTGAGTGGTGGTGTTTTCCAGTACACAACGAAAGGCTCCCCGCAAGCAGCTAGCTACCAAGGCTAGCCTCAACCGCTGATCGGATTCAGTTACAATCACCGTGTGAGGTGGTGTGTGGTCGTCGATATCAGTTGCAGCAGAAGCAATGCTTTCGGCGCGTGGCGTTGAACATTGTTCTCCAGTACACAACGAAAGGCTGCTTGCAAGCAGTGAGCTGCGTCTCACATGAGCATCCATAGAAGGAGGAAGAAGCCGCATCGCTATCAGTAGTTCTTCGTGAGTCGCTGTGGGCCATCTATGCCAAGCGCGTCACCCCCATTCCAAATAACAAACAGCTCGCCAGCCTCATCCGTGTTGAACACCCTAATAGCTCAGCAATACTCAACCATCACGAAAAGACCACCATAAATTTTAAAAAGAGTAATTTTTTGACATTTGCCAAGGTCATCAATCGGATGTCAGTTACCATATCAAGATAGAGCTAGAATTAGGGCGTAACAGCTTTTGTAAACAATGAATTCTCGCGTCACTTTTCAAATCGACCAATGCAACATATCCGCCATTTTGAGAAAATCGAAGTTGAAGTTCGGTAGATTATTATTTTAACTGTTTAGAAACAGTACATTTTGCAATACTATTTTTAATATAGTCAGTGAATTATAACGTTGAAAATTCAGTAGAAACGATAAAATCACAATATAGAAAAAAAAAACACATAGGACGTTTTGACTAGTCAGGTTGTACAACGGACGTGTTACATTGGACGATTTTTCACAATGACATAATCAATGAATGTTACATTGAACGTTTTGTTCTACATGATACTAGATTCCCTTTCACAGATTTCAGAGTAGAGTACCTAGCTTTAGATTGGCCTCACCTTTAGAAAATGAGCACTAATCATGTTAGGCAGTCCAAATGACCGAAGTAACTATCATTTCAACTTGTACATTGGTCAATTTTTGACCTATCATTATCTTAAATAAATGAATGTTAATTTGGATGGGTGTTTTTGTATCACATACAATGATAGAAGAGTAAAAGTTTGAATCGCTTAACTCTATTTGTTTACATTTGTTACTTAGGACCTTTTGAAAAGAGACGCGAGACTTCTTTCGATGATGTCTTGACAGTCAAGGATCACTATTGTCACTATTGAAAATTGCATGAATGTGCAACTTTTGCTACGATAATTAAAATTATCACCGATTGCCTGCGAAAAACGATTTCCCTAACACATATTTCAAAGTTGAATTCCATCCGGTCTCACCAAACGGTGTTTATTCAATCACCGCGTTATGAGTGCTGGTGTTCTCCAGTACACAACGAAAGTCAGCCTGCAAGCAGCGAGCTGCAGCCCACATGAGCATCCATAGAAGGAGGAAGAAGCCGCACCGCTATTGATCGGAATCAGTAGTTCTTCGTGAGTCACTGTGGGCCATGTCAAGCGCGTCATACTGAAGAGTGTAAACAGAGAGAAACCCGCTCGAATTCCTATTCCTACACAAAACACAAGCTCCTGCTGCAGTTAACAAATAAGATTTATTAGACAAGACCACGTAGTCCTACGTCACCATTGCGTACAACCCCATAGGGCTGTCCCTTGTAGTTTTTTATTGGGTCATCAATTCAGTGCTTCTCCTCACTGAGATTTGCAATATCCGATTGACTATCCCAAGACAATTGACAACTTTCCTGACGTGACTAAGATACGCGCATCCTTCGAGAGATTAGCAATTAAGGTACAGTTTTAATACGGAATTCACTAAAATTCTACTACATCGCAGACGTCAAGAATTATTATATCATCGGAGACCTATCACACTTCCAGAAATATCATTTGATGTTCGGGACACAGTTTGCCTTAATTAGAAATGGTTATCCAAGCTATGAATCAAAACCATTAATAACATTCACCGATGAATTCCAGGACCACAGCACGTAGCAGTCCCTGACTCATATAGTTCATACATGGACCGTTCCGTAGGTCTAAACAAACTAGCCAGGTTAAACAACACTCTTCCAACCACAAATGAGCGCGGCTGCATTAGTGAAGCTTTCAAGTTGCAATCTCCGGGGAAAATGTTTGCTCCGAGAGCTGCTGAATTTGAAACGAGCTAACAAATGTTCCGGTCCCGGTCCCGAACTTGTATGGCATGGTCAATTATTAAATTATATTTATTGCATCAAACCACTCGAAAGCGGTCATATTTCTCGAAACAGAAAATTCATAAACAATTCGAGCGGCGACTGTAAACAGCGATAAACTATTCGGGACACGTTTTTCGGGTTTCACGTTGGTTCACATGTTCGCTTCAGCTCAATTCCCTGCTATTTGATTCATTTTTATTCGCACAGCAACGGCCAACGGACTGGAACCTGCCACACTCACACCTTGGACAACAAATAGTTTCATGATCGAGAAATATGATGCCAGCTTGTCCGGGTTCGGTGTCCTTCTTTTGTCTCTCGCTTCAAGGCATTCCGGGGCCCACCCACAAACACCGCCAGAGCCCCAGAACCAAAGACAAATATGTTGGCTCCCCATCTAATTGAATGTTTATTTTGAAATTGGAAAGATATTTCAAACGACGACGATGTGCTCGCCCGGGTCCCATCCCGCCTGCTTTTTCCGAATGATGTATGTTTCAATGTCTTTCTCCGGTTTTGCCGCTTTTGGAAAAATTCCGGTCTTCGTTTGAATCCCAGAATGTAGTGGTGTGCCGTTGTTGTTGTTTGAATAAATAGCCATTGCTGTTGCCGGCCATAAATCAAACCGAAACGGTGATGAATTTTTTGAGGTAGGTACACACACACAATGGAGCGGGAGGGAGAGATAGACAGATAGAGAAGAGAATTGCAATCGGGACTTACCAAGAATTCCTAAACGAAAATTGACTGTAACTACGATCACGTGGCCGTAGCTGGCCAGCACGGAGCCGTCGTATGGATTGCCGGAGCCCCACTCGTACGATTCGCCGTGGATGTAGAAGAAGATGGAGTACGGGGCTTCGAGACCGCGGCTTCCTGCAATGGGAGGGAAAGAGACAGAAAAGGGTTAGGTTAGGTATCGAAGAAGTTTGAACGAATGCCATTTTAAATACTGAGTGTACCACTTTTGGTCATAATGTTGTTTAATTGGTCAATGGAAGAAACCGAATTAAGGAAGGAATATAATCTAAAACGCTTACAATGATATTTTTGTGTTTTGATCTGAGGCATTCTTTCTAAAAAATCATGCTGATGGTACTTTGCTCAATTTTGCATATAAAAAAAAAATCAGAATTGATTCAAACCTTTGGAAACTGGGACTGTGTGACAAATGTAAGTAATTAATTCCAAACTCATTATTCGAAGTTATTCATTCAATTAATTTCATATGCACTGAAACCTCCGTTTACGAAGTCTTTTTATACACAGTATTCAATTAACGTCCCACTTTTTTCGAAGTAAATCCCAAGTAACGAGGTTTGTTTACGAAGTAAATTCCAAATAACGAGTATTTTTGCGATTTTGTGAAACTGGGAAATACTGTCATATACCCCACAATATGGGTATTTCTGAAATCGGGGTGACGTGTAGGAACCGTAAATCGATATCAGACGCCATTTTGAAATCCATGATGGCAGCTCCCGATTACTGAAAAACTTGGAAATTCTGGAAAATACCCCACACTATGGGTATTTTTGGAATCAGAGTAACGTGGGACCGGAAAAAGATGTCTGAAGACGTCATTGACATTCTCTTCAGGTTTGTGTGGCCCATAGTAAAACATCTGACTTTTAAAGCCTCTTTGCATAACCTTTAAGACTCCGAACACGATGCCCCTGTGTAAAAGCGTAACGTCAACTTTTCCAATTTGACTTCAAGTCTTAGCCTTCTTGGTCTAGATTTAGAAAATAAGACTCTGATCTTAAAAAACTTACCTAGTCCCAAAATCTTGATTTTTTTTTTATTGAAATCGAAAATCTTTTCCGGTTTCGCAATGTATTTAGAACAGCTCATATTGTGAGATTTTTCAATTTCTTCTCATTTCAAAGTATAACAATAAAATAGATTTTGTTTATACATCAGTTACAAAATCTCAACACTGGCCCACATTTATATGAGAAACCCATCAAAATACAAGCTGCCTGTCTAAAGGCTGACTAAAAGTAAATTGGTACGCACAAAAAGACCTGTAATTCGTGATTCACTAAGTTTAAAAAGTCCATTAATGGTTGCTTTGCAGTACTTTTATAAAAACTTCAAAGTATTAGATGTTTACATTTCTCCAGTTCAAACGAAATCTCAAACCATCCTCTTGATTTAGCCCATCAGCGCCCGCACAGTGGAAACGTACACAGAATCAGCGCATTTCTACCATTTTCCCCGCAGGTCCTTGACTGCCCCACCGTTTCATCGAAGTCGCTGCTTTGAAATTGCCCAGCATTTTTCGATTGGTCGAAATTCCGGGCAATTCGGAGAATTCAATAGCTTGGAAACAAAATCAATCTTGTTGGCAGCATATCACTCCAGAACCACCTTGAAGTAGAGGCAGCTGAACAAATCGGGCCAAAACATGACTTTGCCCCTATGCTTGCGAATGAGCGACAATACACTTTTTCAGGCATTCTTTGATGTAAACTTGGGATGTCATCGTCGAGGATATGACGAATGGTTCCGTTTTCTGGTCTCAACTGCAAATCGTTTGCCACATTATGGCCTTCTTCGCGAACTTGTCGGCAAACACGAACTTGATCCTTCCCGTCACATCCCCACAACTGCTTAAAATAGAGTTTAACGAATGTTTCGTCACCGATCAAAGTGCAGCCCTTGTGTTTCGTCAAAAAACGGTCATACAAGACCCTTGCATGATTTTTGGCCACGGAATTCTGCTTCATGTGCCGGTTCAGATGTTTACAGGCTTTGTACGACTTGTATCCTTCCCTGGCAAGGATGTTCCGCACCGTTTGAAAGTTGGCGTTGTACCTTCTGGCCACATCTCGGATCGAAAGACCGGGGTTGGTTTTAAAGCACCTCAACACCTTGCTGCGCAGCTGACAAACCCTGGTTCCAGTTTTTTTTTCGTAGATCCGCTAATTCCTTTCCACACTCAGGGTTTCCTTGTAGGTTTTGAGCACTCGACATACTATTGTTTTCGGCATCTTCAGTACTTTAGCCAGCTTGGAACCGGATCACTCCGGATTTTCCAGGTGTTTGTGCTCAATATTGTTTTCTTCCTTCGAGTTCCATAAAGGGTGATACGGTCAAAATTTGGTCAAGGGAAAACGCGTGTAAATCGGTGAAATCGTTTATTTAAAAAATCAAATTAAATTTCTTTTTCAAGTTCAATTAGTATATAATTCAGGAAAAATATTCAGTTAGGCTTCCGCTTTTCCAAATCCGAATTGCCGGGCCTTACGCTTGACCCCTGCCATCAGATTTTGTACAGCCACCTTGTCCACCTTCTTCGCCGCAGAAAGCCAGTTTGCCTTGAACTGCTGCTCGCCCTTAGCAGTTTTTTTGGTCTTTTTTAGGTTCCGCTTGACAATAGCCCAGTATTTCTCAATTGGGCGGAGCTCTGGCGTGTTGGGAGGGTTCTTGTCCTTGGGAACCACCTGCACGTTGTTGGCGGCGTACCACTCCATGGCCTTTTTACCGTAATGGCAAGATGCCAAATCCGGCCAAAACAGTACGGAACAACCGTGTTTCTTCAGGAAAGGCAGCAGACGTTTATTCAAACACTCTTTCATCTAAATTTCTTGGTTGACAGTCCCGGAAGCTATGAAAATGCTGCTTTTCAAGCCACAGGTACAGATGGCTTGCCAAACCAGATATTTCTTTGCGAACTTTGACAGTTTCATGTGCTTGAAAACATCTGCTACCTTTCCCCTTCCTTTTGCCGTATAAAACTGCTGTCCCGGAAGCTGCTTGTTGGCTTTGACGTAGGTTTCGTCGTCCATTACCACGCAGTCAAACTTCGTCAGCATCGTCGTGTACAGCCTCCGGGATCGCGCTTTGGCCGTCGTATTTTGTTTATCATCGCGATTTGGAGTCACTACCTTCTTGTAAGTCGATAGTCCGGCTCGTTTTTTGGCTCGATGCACGGTTGTAGACGATACACCCAGCTTATTTGCGGCATCTCGGAGAGAGAGGTTAGGGTTTCGCTTGAAACTACCGGCAACTCTCTTTGTCGTCTCAGCGGCTTCCGGTTTCCGATTTCCTCCCGATCCAGACTTCCTGGCTGTCGACAAACGTTCCCCAAACACTTTAATTACATTTGTAACGGTTGATTTGGCAACTTTTAGCGATTTTGCCAACTTTGCGTGCGAGTAGCTCGGATTTTCGCGATGCGCGAGCAAAATTTTGATACGCTGCTCTTCTAGCTTGGACGGCATTTTGACAACTGAAGAGTGAATTCCAAAATCAAAATAGGAGCAACATTCTACACACACACACCTTCAAAATGAGGGGTGTTCAGGTTTTTTAAATGCAAAATTGAAAGAAATACGTCAAGTTGATATTGACCAAATTTTGACCGTATCACCCTTTATGACGTTATTTCTGAACGCGATCGACTACTTCGATCAAACTTGGTGGTTTTTTGGTTTAATGTTCATATATGATTTGGTTGAAATTTTCATATACAAAAGGCTCATATACAATCAAAAGCGAATATCTCAATAAAACTATTTTTTTTTTCACATTGGATTCATGATGCAATCTTCAACAAAAGTTGTTACTCACTGATTGAACTATAAGTTTTAAAAATCTTAATCAAATTGTGAATTGATCAGTACGCTGATTATGTATATAGTTCGCTTTATGTATTTGAATTTGTAAATAGTAATGAAGTAATTTAATCATAAGCAAAACTTGAATTCTTGGAACAAAATTTAATTCAAACTGACATAACAACTATACGCGATCACTGTAAAATTTCTATTCTCTATCCGTGCAAAGCCATTAGCAAATTGAATTCAGTTGCAAATATACAGCAGGAGCGTTCGGTATTTATCCCGTGTTTTCTTTGTCCGCTCGATCGTCTAAGGGTAATCAAGTGAGATACAGTGCAAGACAATCTAAAGATAATTTCCTCGTTCACATCCGAAACTATCCAGAGCTTGTGACCAAACCGGGAAGTTCCGTCAGCAGTAGTGCGTGAGTTATCCTATGGACTGTTTCGTAGATACGTGTGTCCGAATCCATAAATTCGGGAAAGTGGTTATAGTGCGTTAAGAGATGGCACTGTGAAGATCAGTGTTAATGCAGTGAAATTTCGTTTTCCCAGAGTTGTGGCTCCGTTGTTCGAAAAAACGGGTAGAAAAACCTCCGGTGGCCGGCAATTATAGCCCACGCTCGAACAGTGAATAAACCAACTTTGATGGAGTGTAGGATCGTCACATTTTCATGTTTTTTATCAAAATTCCTTATACAAAATTCAAACTTAGAGCGCCAGCTCATCCTACAACCAAATGAGCTAAAACTTTCAGAGAATGGTTTTCTCACCTAAAGGCACTAGAGGTTCTAGAATTAGATAAACATTTCAAAAGGCCCTATCTGCATTTATCGATACTCTTCATCGAAGTTCTCTTTCGTTAATAGGGTAGAGCGCTACTTCGTCGTTATCGCCCATTTCCGTTCTATTGATCAGAAAAGATCAATTATATCAATGATTTCACTGTGCACAAATCAATAGTAGGTTTGTTCCGATGCGTTAGCTCATTAGCTACAACATTAATCCTATTAGAGCGCATTGTATAAATATTTACGCTCATTGTTCTCAAAACGAAAGAAGCGCTCCCAGCGAATCCCTTTTTTCTATGTTTATCAGTAGGATGAAGAAAATCTAATGGCGTTTCAATGCGTTAGGACGGAATTGAAACTCGTAGAACGAATCGAGAATCAAGAAGCAGCATTAGATTTTAAACAATATCTCAACAATTTGTGACTCTTTATCAAATCTAACGGTACGTATGGAATGGTGAATAAATTTAGAAGTAATCTTTGACAGGAATATGCCATTTTTTTTTGTTCAAACTCGT